CCCCAAAACCCCAAAACCCCAAAACCCCTAGGATTAATACCAAAATTGGAATTCTAATAAAAATTATTTAAAATGGAGGCTACACTGGTAAAAAGAGAACAAGAGATTCTTGACCAGACAGAGAAGATTAAACTCAAACTTTACTTGGATATTGTAGCAAATATATTCAAGGATTTTACATCTAAAGAGGCTCCATTGTGCTGGCCAGTGAGACAATTTTCAAAGAAACAATCTCACTTTCTCTTGAAAAAGCTAAAAAATATTAGAATAAAGGGTTTTGACAGTTTATCCCTTTATGAAGAAAAAAATCAACCCATATTTCGCAAGTTTCTGAAAACATATTTTATTGACAATATTAATTCATTATATGTCACCCCGGTTGAAGAAGATCTGCATAAAAATAATAATTATCTTTCGTTGGTGATTAGATATATACCAAATGTATCTCAGCTCTTATATCTCAGGAATTTTAAGATCAGCAAAAATAACTTCAGAAAGATCATCCAAATAGGGAGACATATGAATGCGATAAAATTTAATGAATGAAATATGAACTTAAAAGGCCTCAAGTTTACCAATTTCCTGAAGTATCAAATCAAATTAATTTCTTTCAGCATTCCTTACCAACCTAGCAGTAAATTCTTGGAAGAATTTGAAGAAAACTGAATCATTTTCATTACTGCAGCATCATCTACCACCTTAAAGCAATCTCTCCGATCATTCTGCACCGAAATCATAAAATTTCATCCTTCAATCGAAGCAAAAGCTAAAGAGATATCAACAAGATTGGGGTTCACCAATCTTAAAATCGGAGTTTAACCTAAAAGTCCACTCAATCCCATAATTTCCCTTTCAATCATATAAATTTACCCCAAAACCATTAAAAATTCAACCCCAGCTCAATCTCGCATGCAAACTCAAATTTTCCTAATTCGTTTTTACTTCTCAGTGAGAATAGTTTGAACCTTTCCTACTGCAAATTTCACAACTTTGTAGCACAGAATGAGAGAGAAGTGACATCTGACTGAGAGTGGGGATTAGGAATTTTAGGAAATTAGGACCGGTGGTATAATTTCGGAAGGTTTTGGGGTAGTTTAGGGGTTGGAAAGGGTGGCTTGGGGATTTTGGTAATTGGCTGGGAAAGGAGAATAGTACTTTGCAGTTATTGATCGATTAGGTTTAGTTAGGGCATTGTTTTAATGGTGGTTGTATAATAATTAAATATTTAGTATATTGCTGATCAAATAAAGCCTGACCTAAACAATTTGAACAGATCTATAATTCCTTTCACAACCTTATTATTTGCATTAAACACCCAACATAAACAAACAACCCCAAACCCCAAAACCCCTAAAAATCCCAACCTCTTCCCCATCTACCCCAAATCCCCTCCAAGACTACCATCCTAACAAAATCCGTCCAACCCAAAGCCCATCCTAAACACAGACTCAATTTCCTAAATTACTTCCCTCTGAAACAGCCAAGACACCCGCAGAAGGAAGAGAAGGCGGACAAGGATATTGGGATAAGTGAAAGAGAGGAATGGGCTGGAGGGACTGGAGGGACTGGAGGGGAAGAGGGGCTGGAGGAGTGAGAGTTTTGGAGGTTAGTGGGAATAGGATTTATTTGAAGGGCAGGGTTTTGGGAAGTGGCTTAGTAGTTGGAAATGTTTTGGGTAGAGAGGTTGAGTTAGTTTTAAGGGGTTGAATAGTGGAAGTGTTTTGGGGTTTTGGGGTTTTGGGGTTTTGGGG